GAAATAAGTTGTAATTGCTGAGAGAACGTATTCAACTAACAGATTCAACAAGCTTTTGTGTTACTGAAATGCTCTTGTTGAAAACCATAAGCATTTCAGTAATGAATATCAGCAGTCACCTGTAATACTTCAAAGGAGACTTACAGTAATGTTTCTAAAACTGATTCTACAATTCATCAATCAGCAAGACACTGGAAGATATAAAACTTTACAGTTTGTGTTCGGTACAGGTTAAGTGACCGGTTCTGCTTCCAGGTTTACAGCAGTTTTTCCTGGTAATGCTTAAGTTTTACAGGTTTTCCGGTAATGCTTCCAGGATTACAGCAGTTTTTCATATGCTTCCAGGATTAACAACAAAACATTTCTCTCAAAACAGCAGAATTTACAGGTTCTCAAAACAAATCATATGCTTCCAGGATCCTCATACTTCCCAAAACAAGACATTTGTCTCAAAACATTTTGACAGTTTCTCAAAACCCATCAACATATGGATCCTCATACTCCACCCCATCATTGATATCCAATGAAGTTCGTCTACTTTCCAACTTTGATCGTTTTGGTAATGGGTTCATCCGTTGTGTTATTGCGACATCGTTGATCTTCTGTAACGGATTCTTGCATGTACTCCGATGATGCCCCCAAAGTGAACACCTGCTACATTTATGCACTTTCTTCTCTTTCTCTAGAAAATTTGGTAATCTTTTTTTTTTGGGTCTCCCTCTAGGTCTTGAAGTGCTAGGCACTCCAATATCCACCACATTTTGAACAACAAGCCACTGATCTTTATCAGGTAAAGTACCTATAGCTCCCTCGTATGCCATCCTGTACCTAAACACATACAAAGAATTTGTTCTACCTCATATTAAGGAATTCAATATAACATCAAAATTTGAAAAATTTACCTATAAACGAAATACCAATCATGAACATATGTATGCCATAGTGGATGTTCCTTCATTCCAATGTAGGCTACAGCGTGAATGCATGGAAGTCCTGTTAATTGCCATATTCGGCATGTGCATTCTTTAGATTCCAGGTCTACAATATGCCTTGAATGTATGGATTCAACCTCAGCCTTTGAATGAGTTGATTGGCGAACTAACATATGTTCTTTTCTTGTAGTTACTTCTCTGATGTAATCTTCTGCATTAGGAACTAAATCACGTTGCCATGTTATGCTCAACAACTTACGTGCAGCCCTTTGCTCCATAAGTTTACTGCGAATCATGTCAACTAAGTCCACGACTGGTTTATTCCGAGCATCTACAATCCATGCATTGAATGATTCGGCTAAGTTACTTGTATTTGTTGCATGGTATATACCCAGAATGAATTGGCTCCTTGACCACTTATAAGGTAAGTTTGTAAGATAAACATAAATGCTTGGACTCAAAACACTCAGCTCAGCGAGTTTGTCATTGAACTCTGTAATAGTATATGCTCCAGCAGCTGCCCAAACCAAACCTTGAAGTTTATGGCCGTCTTTACAATGGAAATTTTTTTTCAAATTTTTCCACAAATGGCGAATACAAACTCTATGCTCAGCTCCAGGGTAAACTTCTTTAATGGCATCACCCAATCCCTTTTCCATATCTGAAATAAATGAAAGAGGCTCTATGTGTGGGCCAACACTACAAGCCAAGTTTTGAAGGAACCATAGCCATGTTTGTTTAG